GATATATCTTAGTCTTTGAAGAGTGAAGGTCTCAAACTAATAAAATGTTAGCCATTTGTTATAATACAATACATTAGTTTTTGTTCTAAAAATCTCATTATTAGATAATAAGTACTCTAATTTAAAGTTCTAAATATCAAACAATGTTCTACTATATATCTTTTAACTAAATTTTTTTAAAAAAATTAAAAGATATGAATGACATCTGAAACAATGTTCTACTATTTCAAAAATATTTAGGGTATGAATGTGACACACGAGGTCAACCTAGAATTTAGAATCTATAGGGGTAGTTTGGTGTGCAAATGAGATAACACAAGGACATCACAAGCATGAGTTAATCTTAAGATTAATTGATATTCCTAACTAAACAATTTTTTATTTTATCTCGAGATTGTTGTTCTTGTCCCATCAACTAGACAATTTTATAAAAATTAAATTTTGACCAAACCACTACAACAATTTGATTTAACTTCGTAAACCACCAATAAGTATGATACAAATGTCATATAAAATTATCCTTAGATTCAAAATAAGGAACAAGCATGGGAACTTCAGCTTGGGCATAAAATAAGTCAAATAAAGCAAAAAAATTTTGCAAATCTCAGTTATAATTTTGGGGATTCATTTAAATTCATTCTTTTTGATTTAATGTAATCCTTATACGAGGAAAGAAGTTACAATTATTTGATAAAATCCACACCATTTGCGAAATCAAATTTTTAAAACAAGAAAATTTACACTCGAATAAACAAATGAATCCATGTCTATTATATATATAAACATAAAATATATTTTTATCATATATATACAATAGAATTTATTGTCAAGAGAGTTAGCAGGAACCCTTTGCGCTTCTAGCTCTGTCGTTCTACCCCACTCCCACTCCCACCCACCCCTCTCTAATGTTCTCTTTGATTTATTTTGTTATATGTTTTGATGTGCCAATTATCCACAAGATTTGCATAGGTGGTTAGTTATCCAAAAAGGGAGATTTTTCTTTAATTTTATGGTAGTTGGGATCTTCCAATATCCTTGGGCATGACTTGGATTCTATCCTACTTGGCAAATCTTGGACAGGTTTACTACGTGGCAACAATTTAAAGATTACACGTGGCGCCGATAATGTTGGCAAATAGGTAAGCTACTAAATGACATGTGGCACCAATTACACATATCCAAATTTCTACTTATTATTGGTGAGGTAGACTCCATTTATTTGACAGAATAATAATTCTTTACCCTTTTGTGATGGTCATGGTCTTACCTATACTCCCTCCGACTTATATTAGTTATCATATTATTTTTTTACATGTCATTTAAGAAATTATGAATGAAAAATATTTTTTATTAACTCTTTTCCACGTAAAGAATATATTTCTACTTTTAAAACAACAATTTTAAGAACAAGATAAATTTTTAATGTCCTTGACTTTTTATTTCCAAATGTCAAGAAATTTTATTTTTGGTAAAATATTTTCTATTAAAAATCACTTTATCGTCATTCACAAAACTTTCATCATAAAAGTCGAAATCTTTAATTAAGAAGCCATCACAACATACCTTCAACGGATAATCTCATATATACCCAAGAATATTAAAACAAAACCATTATAACTATACTCTAAATACCACAAGATATTTATATTTTGCATTTTATGTGAATAAGCTTATTTACGCAACTCGTTTTCTACTTCTAATTCTAAACGAGTGAAGTATTAAGTATTTCTTTATTCTTAATTAAAAAATTTGAGTTTGAATTTTGGATATGAAATAGCTTTAGTGAGGAATATTTTACTCTCAAAACAGTCTCTCTCGATACAAATTTAGATTAATCAAACTCCATAACAAATATCAAATATGGAGAGAAAAAAAAAGACAACACTAGAATGGAGGGGCATTTATTAAAATCCCATGAATTTAAGACGTACAAACTTGCAATATTGTGATCCACATCTTTTCCAACTTAGCTGAGTTGTTTGAAATAAATTGGTGTATCAAAACATCAACACAAATAAAAAAGGAAATAACTAATATAGTACCTTTTTTTTAATATATATAAAAATATATATTAGCTATCGTATAAATAACGGATATTAAATATACATTGATTGTACATTTACTATAAACTAGATATACACTTAAGTTATAAGTTTTGTTCCACCATTCTATTTGCATTGTCAATATATAGAAACTAAACTTAAATACGTATGGCTTATTTTGAATTACAAGTTTTTAATTTTATCTTTTTTTTAACTTCAGTTTTTAAATTTTAATTTTTATGTCCCTACAATATAATGTTGGCTCTGTCAAGAAAGTATTAATTACCTAAGTTGTTTATATAGGTAGAAAGAACATTAATTTCTCTTTTGTTTCTCGTTCACTGTCTAGTACTTATATATTGAGATCCAATTAAATTCAGAATCTCATTGAATAATTTCAAATTTTGAGAAGTAAAATGCCTCCTAAAAATAATTTCATACTTCGCAGAATACAAATTTAAAATATCTGCCTAATGAGCTCATAAAATTAAGGAATTTGACTTTTCCAAAATGAAATTAAATTTGCCAACTAGCAATGAAAGTACCAGTACACGAGCTTCCTCACTTCCATTGGCCAAAAAGTAAGTTTCAACAACCTTCAAAAAACTAATTAATTGGTCAAACAAATATTATATTATAAAACTTCTATATATAGTGCCATTTCTCTTCTCATTTTCTCACCTCTCAGAAAACAAACAAACAAACAAACATTATATTATTATTAATTACTTCTCAAAAAATGCCAAGTCCTAATTCAGTTTCCATAATACTAGTTATTATTATTTATTTTCTTATCTTCTTTTCTCCTACAACTATTCTTGCTACCAAATATAATGAAGCTTCAACAAGATTTAAACCTAAAATCAATGGAAGAAAAGAAGGAAATTTTCATGGTGATCAAGGTGTGGATGATTGTTTACCAAAGGGTATACGACGATCGTCTGCTCCTAGTCGATACATAAACGATCAAACTTTAGGTACACCAATTTGTTCATCAATCAAAAAGGTGAATAAACCATGATGTTTGATCAAATTACTTCAATTATAGATGAAATATACAATAGAAATATGTAATATACATGTATTTCTTTCACTTTTTAAATATATATATATATAGTGTGTTATGTATAATACTTATGTTGCAAAATGAAAAAAAAATTAATATATTATTAAGTATATATATACTAGCTTGTTATATCCTTTCAAGTAAATAATGCATCTCCTTTCACTTTAATTTTTACTTTTTTCACTATTTGAAGAGCAAGAACAATGCAAAAAAAAGAAGTAAATATTAAAGAGTAAGGGGGGGGGGGGGGGGGGAAAGAAGAAAAGTTGGCCTCATAAAGCTAGGCGTAAAGTTTGCGTAAATTTTATCTTTTCCGAGTTCAATTTGGGAGATTAAATTGAAAATGTTATTGTTAGAATTACAGTTCAATGTGTTTGGATGAATTGGCTTACACAATATCTAGAAAATATATAGGTTATGTATATTGAAGTATAATATACCTATACTATACATATAATATACATACTATACATATAATACATATGAATATTATATATTTTGACCATATTGATAAATAAGTTTGGCCAAATTATACATATCGATAGGTTAATTTCCCTTATTTCTATATAAATATCTTTATATATATATATATATATATATATATATATATATATATATATATATCAATCTGCTTAATTCTAATTTTGTATAGCTCGTGAATTTGAATAATTTGGTTAGGCTGTGAAACAACTAAAGCAAAATAACGGTTTATATGGTCCAACAAAAATTGGTAAACAATTACTTTCCTCCTCGTCCATTTTTACCTGTTAATGTTTAATTTGATAGAACCTTTAAGAAATAATAAATAGAGGAATAATTTTACGAAATTTCTTTTAATTAGTATATTGAACAAGTAAAAATAGACGGACACCACAGGTCCAAAAGGTGGCACATAGAGCATTGGTGTTGGGAAACATCTGTCTATCAAGAAGCGTTTTTCTCTTTAATAGATTTTACATAGACAATTTTTTGAATTAATCAAGCCCTCTATGAGTATTGAATATCGAATGTGTATACCATAGTATCAACATGAGTTTCTTTTTATGAAACATATATCTAAAGTTATCTAGTTTCATTTTATGGAAAGTTACATGTAAAATAGTGTAATTTTTTTAATACTATTTACGTATATACGTTACTATCTTTTGCTCTAGTTCTGAATTCGAGAGCGAGATCTAATAATCCTCTTTCATTTTCTTATTTTCACTCGCATACAATTTTTAAGGTATAGCATACAAGTAAAAAAGAAATAACCGGAAGAAATAATTAAAAATAAACATCTATCCTTTTAGTGGATTAAAGACATTAATGTTAAAGCAAATCAATTCACTTAAAAAAATAAAAGAGTTCCAAACAATCCCTAACTTTAGCTTTAGAGGGCTTTCAAACGACTAACGTGGTCCTTCCCCTATCGAAGAGCCACATATTCAGAGTTGATCACATCATCGCTATTTTATTAAAGTGTGATAAAAGTTCAATTGGATCATTGTTTAGTATATCCAAAATTGACAATAGCTAATGAAATTTTGAGTACCCAAAATGTAACTCCCTTACGAGTTGAAAGTCAAAATAAATGAATTCTACCCTAATGACCCAGAGGCTAGAGCAAGGAAATGCTCAGATCTATTACATAAACGTTATTGTATATTTAAAATTTAAAATTTCAAACTTCTATAGCTATACAAATATTATTTTTATTAAATTCGATATCCAATCAATCGAATAACAATAATAATAACATTCCACACTACCAATATTGGTAATATTTTCTCCAAGAGTAAAATATACACGAATCTTCTAAAATCTTTATGAGGTAAAATGACGATTTTTAATAGACACTCGGCTCAAATAAGTTTGAGATAATAAATTGAAATAAAAATGTGTTAAAGAAAGAGACATAAACGTGTCATTTTAGAAATAGAAATTCTAAAAATTGTTTCTCTCTCTTCTTTCTCTCTCCTCTCCCTCGAAGCTTAGAATATACAGAAAGATTTAACAGACCATTTTGATACAATTTTACAAATATTTTTTTTCTATATATATAGCAGATTGATCTTGTTAGGTTATGGGTTGCGCATCTTCAGCTGCAGGTATTTTTTTTTAGGTTCAAAAATCTTTTATTTTATCTGGGTTTGTTAAATTTTTGCTTGATTTTGGATATGAATTGAGTAAAAATTGAATTAATTGATTCTTATTGACTGTTGAAATTATATTGCTGTTTGGATCACTTTGCACGTACCTCGATTAATTACATGGGTATTGGGTTACTATGTGTATTAATTAACTAGTATTTGAACCTGAGACCTCGTAGTTCTTAACCATGCCATGACTACTAGGGGACATGATTTTGTTTTTGATGTTGACTGTGGTGTCTGGGATGGTTTGGGAGCACCTTGACTAATTCCACGGATATCTATGCAACAGGTAGGTACGAGATAACTTTGTTCACACTAAGACGAGAACAAATGGGAAGAAATCACTTAGTGTTTTTTTTTTTTTTTTGTCTATGCTGGGATTTGAACCCGAGACCTCAGGGTTGTCAATCTACTTCATTGACCACTAGTTCACACTGTTGGGAGTATCTGTGATTTATGTTTATTCTTATCGTTTTGTATCTATACTGAGTTGTGGTTAGTATGATGATGATATGAGATGAATTTAAATGAAGAAATGGGGAATATAGCTGACCGTAACTTGTTTGGGATAGAGGTGTATTTATTGTTGTTGTTTATTGAGTTATGGTTGGAGTAGGATGGGGAAGGTTATACTAGCTAATGTTGTGTTTAATGCTTCCTTTTTGTCTATGCAGATAGGAATTCGGGACGGGCTGCTGGACTTAATCCTGATAATGGTGGAGCAATTGACCCTAAAAATCTTAAAGTGAAGGTAAAGTTTGAGACTTTGTGCTGAGCCCTTTCATGTTATGGCAGAGTATTAGTCCATATGTTCCAATTTATGTCACTCTTTCTATTTTTGACAATTTGATATGTTTGACACCATTCTAGCAAATGTTACTTTGTACAAATTTCTAGAGTTCTCAAATTCATTTAACTAATCAAGTTTTAATTTTGATGCGATGGGTTTCAGCAAACTGTTTATATAACTATAACATTAGTAGTTGTTTCTCCAGCTGCCTATACTGTATGTTCGTCAATTAAGTATCTTAAAGTCCATGCTCAACAGATGGTGTCACCTAAATTGGGACGAGGGAGTTGTTTCTTCGATCCTAATACCTAGAATATTATGATAGTAGTAGACTATTAGTGTCCATATGACATTGCTTATACTATAGATCTTTTGATAAAGTAAGTAGTTTAATTAATGTGAAGATATTACCATATAATCAGAAAGATCTTTCTACAATTGCTAATCATTGTATTAGTTATTACATCTTCCACCCGCTTCGTCACTTCAAAAAGATCAGGGTTTGGTCTCTTCACACTTCTCCAACTAAAGAGGTCGCTTCTTCAACCTTGCTTCGCTTCATGCTGAAGAAGCGCTATACCTCACTTCGCTTCGCTTCACCGCTTTAAGCGGCAAAGCGCTCACTTTTCACCACACAACCCACACTCTACTAATATTGGTTTATGATCAGAAAACGCAATCAATTAAATTGTTCTAACAGCCTCGTCCTGCTATGTGGATATTGAGAATCTATCAATTCAAGAAGCTTTTATGCTATCGTCTCCTCTTTCCTATGTCAATCTGGCTTCCTGCAATGATAGGTCAATAAGAGACATTTCCTGAATGAACTTGGAGAAAACCTGCATGTCTTTGTGCATCTTCTACAGTGTTTGTAGGGCAAATTCCTCAATTGGTAAAAGATTCATTAGGCCTTTTGCGTTTTCCACTTTAAATTACATTTATTCTCATTTTGATATTTTAATTTCACATTTTATAGTTGCATATATTGAGGACATGATTAAGTAAAAAAATATGTTCTCTCCAACGGTTTAAACTTTTCAGTAGGGCGGCTGACACAATTCAACCATGGTATTAGAGCATGGGGAAGTTGTGGGTTCAAGAGACACTGCCACTGTTCATTAGAAAATCAAATTGCTTTTCCATAAAAAAGAATTAAGCCCGCACCTGAGAGGGAGTGTGACCTTTTCAGTTCGTACTGTTTATTTAGAAGTGAACTGTCAGTGGTGAGGTTTCTTGGTTCATAGGCTCACGAATCTGATTAGTACACAGTTTCTTGCTTAGACATTATAGTCAATCTTTGAGGACCTCAGTTCTATGTGAAGCATAGTTTATTTTCTTCTAATATCACACTCTGTCTAATAGATATACATCAAAGAACGAAGGTTCTTGATTATCATGATGACTTCCACTCATTCTTTTTGTCATTCCTTATCTCTGATGAGGAACGGATACTAGTTTAATTAGATGGTTAACTGGATATTGTTGAAGGTCAATTTTTGAGTCAATATAATAGTTTGAGCTAAATGGCGAATATATTCCTCATAATAATCTTACTTATCAAAACGACAAATAGGAATATACTCTTTCATGTTCATCAGTGACCTTTTAAATCTCTATCTGAAGTTAATTTGATGATCAGACTGTCTTATTGACAAACTTTAGAAAGTGTAGTGGCTTGGAGACATAGGCCTGAATGGCTGTTATGGAAATTGGGTGGGAACGTCTCAATGAGCATTTGTTGGGTCATGTCATTGTTTACTAGATTAGAGTCTGTCAAGTTAGAGTGTGAATTTGATCTACTGCTAGGCTTTAGCCGACTATGTTCTTGCTGGAATAAACTTCCAGTATTGTATGTCGTGTTTATGAAGGTTGGTGCTTCTGGAACTTTTAGATTATGACTATTTATGTTCAATCAGTCTCTTGGTTGGAGTATATATGTTCTCCTGAATTACAGAGATTTCTTAAATGCACTTTTCTGCACAGGTGTGGCCTGCAGCTTTGTATGTTTTTTTTTTCACGCATTCAAAAGTGTGCTTATAAGGGTCTTGCACCCTATTTGTGATACTGATATTGCCTTTTCCTCCAAACTTCATTTGCAGCTGGTACTCTTGGGTGATTCTGGTGTTGGTAAAAGCTGTATAGTTCTGCGTTTTGTACGTGGTCAATTTGATCCAACATCTAAGGTATGAGTATGTTATTGTAAAATGAATGTGTCATATCGTGTGACATTTGCCTATCGTATTCGGTTCCAACCTCCCACCTTTTTCTGTCCCTTCTGGTGTGTGTTTCACAGTTTCAGTGAACTGTGTTGGTGTATGCTATGTATATCATGTTTTTCAAAAGATAATTTATAATTGTTGCTTTGATGATTTTAGGTGACTGTAGGAGCTTCTTTTCTGTCTCAAACAATAGCCTTGCAGGACTCAACTACAGTTAAATTTGAAATATGGGACACAGCTGGTCAAGAGAGGTATTGCAAACCAAGTTTCCTTCTTCTGCTCTTCACTCTAAGTAATTTTTTCCAATAACCGAGAAATTCCCTGTGAATTAGCTGACCCAACCCTTGGCTCGGAATAAAAATGAGAAGTCCCTAATGGTTGACAAAAAATAATTGTAAAGAAGACCTTCAAGTTGTGCTGTCTGCCTTGGTTTCAGGTATGCAGCTCTTGCACCATTATACTACCGAGGTGCTGCAGTTGCAGTGGTTGTGTATGATATTACTAGTCCTGAGTCTTTTGCCAAAGCACAATACTGGGTCAAGGTATTTCTCTTAAAGAATGGAATAGAGTCTTCTGTCCCTTTTGTTTGATATTCGTGTTTGCATGAGATGATAGCAACTATGTAGCAGTCTGCCATTTGATCTGATTTTCATTTCTTCTTGTCTTTTCTCGATCTTTTCTTTTTCTTTTGTGGAAATAATTTGCTTGCCGGCTTGTGTTAAGTGACAATTCCATTTTAATTCTCTATTTATCCACTTCTTTTTTTCTTTCTCTTCCCCTCTTCTCGAGGGGGTAGGGGGGACAAGGGATGTTTTTTCTGCTGTGCTGAATTATGAATGTGTTAATGATTACCCATTGCTGCCTTCCTTTTCAATACTTGTCCATAGCAGGGGATTGCTTTATTTATATCTTTAGAGATTGCTCCTTTTCTTGTGACTTGATATGGCAGGGGATTTTCTCTGTTTGAGTAGAGCCGAATGTTTATCCATGAAAGAATCCAATCCCCTTATATGGTCATTCAGTCATTCCATCATCATTTACTAAAAGCAAAAAGTAATCTTTTTTTTCTTTTACATGGATGCGCGTGAGGGTACTTGATAAGGGGTGAGGATCTAGAAGTCAGATTTATCATCACTTAAATCGTAAGATTCAGGGACATGGATGGGCGATGTTAACAGGTGTTAAGACATGGGGAATAAATGTCAAGTAATTGTTTCAACAAAAATGCCACAGTAAGAATGACGAGAAGTCGTTGAACCAAAACAAGTCTTAGTAAATATTTTTTGAAATATATAATATTTTGTTCATAAACATAAGTTATATGATAGCAAAATTTTATAGTACCTGTGCTTGATCAAAAAGGTTTCCAAGTACTTGTGTGTATACTAGTAACAACAACAACAACATACTTGTTGTGATCCCACAAGTGGGGGCTGGGGAGGATGGGGTGTGTGGGGTAGAGAGACTGTTTTCTATAGACACTCGGCTCAAGAAAAGCGTTTTTCAAAAATATGTTTGAAAAATACAAGGGTAAAAAATCTGTGATGAAAATATTGAAGAAATGAAAAGTATTGACAGTTGAAATAATAAAGATACTAAAGTACTTGTGTGTATATCCAAAGCAAAAAACCGCAAGAGAAAATCCACCCAGCTTATGTTTCTCGGCCGTAATTGTAGTCAAAGCACCCTGGGTAAATTGACCAAATCCTTTCTGTATCTCACAGATGCAGCAGAGATTTTTGATGGATCTGTGAACATACTTACATTGAAGCAATTTAAATTGCAATAAGATGTTGATAATAGTTCATTAGAGCATCATAATTTATGAAACAACTTGGTCAAAGATCGTTCTTTCTCAAGTTCATTACTTATTTAAGATTCTCTTTTCATTGTTTCAATGGAAGCAATGAATATTCACAAGCTAAAACAAGATCAATGAGAATCTCAAAAATGTAATTGTCAATACCCCTGTATCTAGAACGGTTAAATTTGTTTCCCCTAAAAGAATAGTTTCACCAGCTAGTTTCCCCGGGGGTTCATGTGCAATGTAGATTATCCTGTGTGTCAAGTGTTTTTGATATGAATCAAGAACCACAGTGGTGGGGGCCACAAACTAACTTGCTCTAATTGATTGATAAACACCTCCAGAAGATCCTTTCAAGGTTTATTTAGGGACAGGATTTCAAGTTTACCTACTTTTTTTTGGTTTCCCATCTGGTGTCCAGTACCCGAATGGGAGCCGACTAATCTGGATTCGCGCATTGTAGGGCCCATTTCTGGGGGCGATGCTCCCAACAGGATTTTTGCCATTCCCAGTGCTCAACAAGTTGGTTAAGTTCACCAACTGTTATCATGAATTAATATGCATGATATCCATATCTTAGACTTGTCGATCAGCATGAAGGATAACATTACGTTTGCCGGTTCTTGTTGATTGGTGTCCAATTAATTTGGTATTTCTTCATTTTCTAAATGAGTCAGTCTGTCACGACAATAATAACTATTACATCTCAATCCGAGCAGGTGGGTATGCTTTATGAATGTCCAGTTTCCATGTGACTAGTCATCCTGTCGGACAGGCTTGTGCTAAATGATTTGTGGTTTTTGAAGTTCAGTCTTGTGTAGAATATTCTATATCATAGCTGCTAAATGAGAGCCATTTTGTAGGAATTGCAAAAACATGGGAGCCCTGATATAGTCATGGCTCTGGTTGGCAACAAAGCTGATCTCGATGAAAAAAGAGAAGTAACGACACAAGTGAGTATCGTCAACGTCTTACCAGCACTGTTAGACATGAAATTTACTTCTGGCATACTGATCTTTTTGTGGTACTTACTTTTGAAGGATGGAATTGACTGTGCTGAAAAGAACGGTATGTTCTTTATAGAAACATCTGCTAAGACAGCTGATAATATCAACCAGCTGTTTGAGGTATGTTCCTCATGTCATTTCTCAAAAGCGAAACGTCAACTTTTTAAGGTGTGTAAATTTAATTGGGACCTTTATATAGGTGAGTTTAGAGAATTCCAATGCAATTAACCTACATTGGTTCTGCAACTGTCTAAATTTGGATTTCGCGTGATAGAACTTAATCCAGTTGTGGGGAGACTATCGTTTGTTCATTTTAGTCATCTTCATCGGGCTTTTCAGTTTTCTCTTGCTTTTCTTGCCCTCCTTGTTTATTGTCGGAGTTTGGTGAAGTGAGGGAACAACACAAGTAGTTTTAGTCAGATCAAGAGAGTTTTCTGAGGATCTTGAGTTCCCGGAGATTAGTTTTGTTCAATTTAGCACTAATCTCATATCAATATGATACAAACTAAAAAGAAAAAGTACAAGTAGTTCTTTATATTCCCTACTGGCATATAACTCTCTGACATGACTAAACGACTCCTAGAGAACAGTAGAACGGAAAGTATAGCATACTACTTATAGTCGAATATATAGATCCTTATCTTCCATTATGCGTTATGTTTCTCTAGGCCTGCATTTGAACTCGAACACTAGGTAATATTCACTTGTTGATGACTTTGCTTGCAGGAAATCGCAAAGAGATTGCCACGCCCGACTGCTGCTTGACCATCAAGAATATGCTAATTGCTAATGTACTGCCTGTAATACTATGTATATGAAGTCATTCTCAGTCTCTTTTTCTCTGTAGTACTCTTGTTACGATTTCTGATCTTGTGATCGCGATCCTCTTCAACGAGGCATCCTGATATATATAACTGTGAGAATTGAGGAGACCAAAAGCTCACTTCAACTTGTGAAAGTTTGAAATATTTGAATGATTCAGTGACATATATACATGTTTCCAGTTCAGTGAAGTTTAGCTATCTGTAACTAACATGTGATACCTTATTAAACAGAAAAAAACTAAGTGTTAGTATGTATGCTAAGGTTCCAAAAATTTGAAAAAACAACTACTTTATGACACTTTGGTTTATAAATATTTGTGTGACGCAGCTTCTTTGAGGTTTCGAGTTTGAATTTTAGGTAATGGAAAAATCCTTGTTAGAGAGTGTTGCTCCCGAAATATGGGTAATGAACATCGGGTGAGAAATAAAAAAAAAATATCACGTGTTTGCATGGGTGTCCACATCTAATTAAACAAGTAGCTTTAAAAGTTAATAAATCAAATTTAATCACGATTAAGTGATAAAAAGTGTGTATACAAAATATGTGCCTTATATTCATTGATTCGATATAAATATTTAGTGTAGATACAAAACAAAAAACATAAAATTTCATTAAAACTCCCATTCTTGAAAGACACGTAATCAAATAAAACTTTTTAAGTCCTAAATAGGAAAAGATCTAAATAAAATAAAATCTTTTAAAAATTAGGTTTTAGAGTCCTAAATATAAAAATTTCTACTTTAGTTCAACAAGGAAATATTTAATAACTAAACTTTCAGTTGATTTTAAAGTCTTAAATATTAAAACTAGGGGTGTTCACGGGTTGGTTTGGATCGGTTATTGGTTAAAACCAAAATCAAACCAACTTAATCGGTTTTAAAATTATCAAAACCAAACCAAACCAAATATAATATACATTTATCGGTTTCGGTTTGGTTTGGTTCGGTTATTAACCATACACAAAAATAAAAGAAACGATTCATTTAAAATGTGAAAAAAGTGACAACAATCCATTCAAAACGAAAAATAGTTAGAATGACTTAAATTACTGAACTTTCGATCACTAAATTTACTATCAATAAAGCTTTAAAATTCACTATATTGGCCTAGAAGGAAGAGACTAACATTTCAGTCCCACAAAAAATTGTCATAGACACTCATATACATGAAATCAATAAGATAAATGTTTCATCTTGGACATTTTCCTTTTCAATAAGTAAATTATAAAGAATTTTTAATGAAAATATGTATAAGATCTTTAAAATTGTTTATAAAAACAATATGTTAAGTATGTATATTAATAAAATATATGTATATAATTCATCGGTTCGGTTCGATTATTTCTTCGGTTTTTTTTAATAAAACCATAACCAAACCAATTACTATCGGTTTTCAAAAATCTAAAACCAAACCAAACCAAACCCAAATAAATTCGGTTTTATTTTATCGATTTGATTTGGTTTTTCGGTTTGAATCGGTTTTTATCCAAACCATGAACACCCCTAATTAAAACAAACAATTTGTCATTATTTATTTTTCCTATTGTAACTCAAAAATAACTCATTCCTAACCAAACTAAAACAGAAAAAAATATTACTATAAAACAAAGTTTAGTTTGAAAAGGTTTAGTGAAACGCTCTACCTCTACCTCTGATAACATAAGTTTTTAATATTTCTCTCGAAATCAATGGCATCATCATCGAAAAAAATGTTGATCTTAAAATCATCGGATGGTGATGAATTTGAGATTGAAGAATCGATTGCATTTCAATCTAAACGATAAAAAACATAGTTGAGGACGATTATACCCTCATCCCATTGCCTAATGTGAATACTGAAAACCTAATTGTAATTATTGAGTACATGAAGAAGCATGCGGAGAAGACGGATTCAAACGAAGAAGAAATTAAAGAATTCGATAAGAATTTTGTGAAAGATAAGAACTATCAAAAGATGTTTGAAATTGTATTGGCTGCAAATTATCTTCACATTAGCGATTTGATGAATTTGTTGTGTATGGCGATAGCTGATAGAACTAAGAATAAGTCTGTGAGTGCTATTAGGAAGATATTTAATATTACGAATGATCATACTCCAGAAGAAGAAGAAAAGATTCGTGAAGAACATAAGTGGGCTCATGAAGGAGAAGAAATTGATGAATCTCTTGATTAAGTTTATTTATGATTTTTTTAGGTTTTAGTACAATTTATGATTTGGTTTTTAGTTTTACGTAGGGTTTAGCTATTTTGGATTTTTATTAATCATTTCGTGTTTTAATTTAGAGTACCTATTTTTTTCTTTTGATAATCAAAAGGTTATATTGTCCATTAAGATTAACATTTATATATATTATAACTTTTTTGTAGCATGCATAATGGCTTACACAAAAAATATTTTGCATTGATATGAGATAATAGTTTGGTATATATTGTGTTTCAATGGGATAGAGTTTAATTTTCGTTTTATCGCATAAACTATTTATTTTAAATCTTGATAAATAATTAAGATTTGATATTTCATTATTAAACATGAAAGGGAAAAAAAATCTCGACCATAATTCAATATATTTGTCATTTGCAATGATAATAAATAAATCAAAACGTCAAACTATATATATATATATATATATATATATATATATATATATATATATATATATATATATATATATATTAATTGATTGTCGCAAGCTGCGCATACAAACATATATTAAAGTCCTTTAAAAATGTAGATTAAACTTTTTGTTCTTCGTTAAAATAATTTTCCTCGAATTAATCATATATATATAAAAGAGAATCATAGACCCGCCTATGTGGCGTCATCATAAACCAAGATTGCTTTTTTAAATTTATTTATTTTCAAAACTAGCCTTCTACTTTCATGAAACGTTGTGACTTTTATGAAGGATTGCTATTTTTATGAGAAGTTGTGACTTTTACGAAAGATTGTTACCTTTCCAAAGGGTTGTAACTTTTCTAAAGAGTTGTGACATTTCCGATAAAGCACAATAAACATTTGTTGACACTACACTTTGTTGTCTATAAATAGAGGGATTTCCTCTTATTGAAAACAACGAAAATTGTGAACTTCTTCTTCTTTTGCACAAATAAATATTGGTGTACTTTGCTCCTGTTGAGTGACTTACTACACCATTGTATTTGTATCAATACATTGGTGAATATAATCGTTCTATCCGGAGATGATCTATTCCTTTAAACCTCGGGTATTAGAGTGGAATAATATCCTTAATGGGACATTGTGCATTCAGTGGACTCAATTTTTTCCTTTATGTTTCATTATATTGTTATAGATTCTGGTATGTTTTTTCATAGTCATTAGTTTATGCGTATGTTACTAATATAACATTTTAAGATTTCGGAGGAATGTTTTGCCTTAAGATAAAATGGTATTGACAATGTAGAGTATGTATTGGAAATACAGTTATTACTGAATAATCATATGTAATAAGCTTAATAAAAGAGTTCATTCTCATACGAAACACGAATAATTTACCTAGTTATTAATATATGGGAAGTAGTTATCAATTAAATTAATAAGGACTTCTAAATCTAAAATATATGGATTTTAAACTAATATAGAATGTGTATTTTTTATTTTTTATATTAGAAGAATAACTAATTTTCCTTTTTAAGTGTAGATAGGGGTGACAAACGGTGAATTGAGTAAAATATGAATTGGTCAGAAATAAGTTAGGCGAAAATGAATAAACTTTTTGACTCGATTCATATTTTTTATTTGAATAAAAAATGGATAAATTCAACGAATATATGAATATCCATATTAATCATATTATTAATTATTCTTTTTTCTTCTAAATTTGTTTTCTCCAAGTTCATGAGAAGATTCTAGAAATGTGAAAGAAAATCACTCACTATAAATACAAATCTCCATTTTTGGGGAGCTTTTTAGGGTTTTGTCATTTCTCCCAAATTGATCAACAATGGCGTCGTCATCATCGTCGCCGGAGAACAAGATTCTGACCTTGAAATCCGCCGACAACGACGAATTTCAGGTCGAAGCATCCATCGCCGTTCAATCTATAGCCATCAAAAACATGGTAGAGGACGGTTACACAGACATTCCGCTGGTGAACATCAGTAGCGAAGTCCTTATCAAAATTATCGATTACCTGACGAAGCACGCGGAGAAGTCTGGTTGTAGCGAAGACGAACTGAAAGAATTCGATGATGAATTCGTTAAGATGAGCATCAAAAAAATGTCTCTGTTTGTATACGCTGCTAATTTCCTTCACATTGCTGATTTGACGAGCCTGTTATGCCAGGCGATTGCTGATAAAATTAAGAACAAATCGGTGAATGCTGTTCGGAGGATTTTTGATATTACTGGTGATTATACACCGGAGGAAGAAGCAGAGGTTCGTGCTGAACATGACTGGGCACATGAAGGAGAGCTTGATGAGACTGCTGATGAGGACGATGTTGTTCGTGATGAAAATGAAGGAGAGAGTGATGACAACGATACATCAGAGGAAGAAACAGGTGAAAATTGATGACGACATTGTTGAGTACTTAGTTTGTGTTCATCAATGGAGTAATTAGGGTTTTTTGATTAGTTTCTGGAAACTCGTAATCTGGTACTCTGTTTCATTGATGGATTGGGTTGTTGTGATTTGCTTCTTTTGTTTTTTTTCATTTGGAATTTGTTCATCTTTGAATCTTTTTTGTTGCTTATGGAGCGGGTAGAGTGCGTTATGACTCGTGATCGACTGTGACCTCTTTCGTGTGAGTTGGTGATTGGAATCCTAGCTAATGAAGTTTTTATGAATGTGCAATCTTAGCCTGTGAAGTTTTTATGCATTTTTAGAGTGTGGGATTAGTGGTTAATGAATGTGTAATTTTAGTGAGGAAAGTCTTTATGCGCTTTTAGAGTGGGATTAGTGGTTAATGAAAATGTGTAATCCTAGCGAGTGAAGTTTTTATGCCTTTTTGAAGTGTGGGGTTAGTGAAAATGTGTTGTGTCCGAGTGAAGTGTTTTCGCCTTTATAAAGTGTGGGTTTTAGTAGTTAATGAATGTGCAATTCTAGCAAGTGAAGTGTTTATGCCACTCTAGACTATGGAGTTAGTGGTTAATGAATGTACAATCCTAGCGAGTGAAATTTTTTTACTTTTTTAGAGAATGTGGTTAGT